AATTTTATCTTGAGGCAGGAGATGGTCAAGCAGGAACCACAAACAGCAACACTACCAGTTCTAATAAACCCTTTCTTGGGGCAGTTGAGTATCACCTCAAGAAAAAAAAAAGCTTTTTCTGAGCGATCAGCTCCTAAAACAGGGCAAACTTTTAACAAACCACTCATTGACATTACTTTATTCATAAATAAGTTACTGCCTTGTCAGGCACCATATGGGGTTAATACCTTCCCTTTCTCTAGAAGACAACTGTCAAAAGATTAGCAACAATACTTCAAGTACCAACTGATTGGTCATACAATATCAGGAAAGTTAGGAGGATGTCAAATTTTCAATTTTGATACTACGGATTAATTTATCCAGTCATTCAGGTTAAGATTAACTCTAAAACATTTTTTTTTAGATGGAATAACTAAAGCAGCATTATTTTTTGCTGTTTAAATGAATTGGTTTCATGTGATCAAAAAAATCTCCAAAAAGAAGTGCCAGTTCTTGGTACTAGGTCAAAGATTTTGCAGATTATTAGAAAGAAGTGAAAATTATGCTATGATGATTAAGGATAAAACATTCATGCATATTCCAGGTATTCTAAAATATCTATAAATTTCAGATTTACAAGATGTTAAAGAGGATTTAGCTTCTTACTGTGTGTCTTAGGTAGCATTTATAACAGCGGAATACTATGTAAGAGAGAGAGTGTCTGAATTGCACTATCTGAAGTTTGCAATAATTGTCAACACTCCAGAATTTGTGTACAATGAAAAAAGTGACACTATTTTTTTTCACAATTGCAATTTCACTCCCACAAGGTTTCTAGTATTTGTCCTGCTTTGTTGAAATAATTGCAAAAAGTTGGATCACTGAAGGTGCCTACTATGCCAAGGTGTACTTCTTGGCATCTGGCTGACATCTGCTGTTATTCAGGAAGCTCAAATAAAATTTTATATGAAGTCACAACTTCTATTGTTCCAAATACTTAGTATTGATTCATTTCCCACACATGGTTGATTCTGAAGTCAGAATGTGACAAAGTGCTTGGTCTGAGACATGAACCATGAATAAAACTATTCATACGAAGAATTTCGATGCAATTCACTAAATAAAGAGTATTTAACAGCCCCTAAATATTGTCCTTCTTATTCTACATCATAGTGAAAACGATTGTTCTCAACATTTAGTCCCATTATTACACCTTCATTTATGAGTTTTAGAAGTTTGCCCAGCGGATGTGCAGCTTGAGCATACTCAGGAGATAAGCATGCACTTCTTAAGAGAAAGGCAAATGCAATGAGAAGAAACACATCAGCTATGAGACAGAGAGGGGGTCACTGCTGCCTCATTAGCAAGACACCATGAGTATTTTGTGTTTGTTGTCTGCTTCTGTGTGCATGTATGCCACCTGTTCCTGAGGGGGTACTGATACAAGAGAGCCAGGCTACCAAAAATTATTGGGGGACCAGGGAATCCTTGGAGGAGAAACTAAAGCAAATTCCACACACCACTGCAAAAACTCCACCCAAAATAGCAATATTATCTTCACACAGCTGCAGCAATGAGTGTGTCAAGAATCAAAAAAAGCAGGACACCTGCCATGCATGACTAATGTTTGCTGATAAATTTAGTAAATTTTTAATCTTAGAACATGACAATATGGAAACATATAGTATTCTGAGCAAAGAAAAAAACAACAGAGCAGATAAAACTTTTACAAATCATTAAGCATATCAAATCTTTGAAGTGCTTTGCTCTCTAAGTATCCTATCAGAAAGGTCAAAATAACATCAGAAAGAGGAAGGTGATTGACAGAATATGTCAGTCTCAGAAAGCTACTTCAGACCATACAACACACACTCAAAGTTGGAGAAGACTGTAAGAGGGAGATGACCAGAATTTCTGGTATCCATGCAACCATTATTATAGCATTCACATACTACCATTGGCACACCGTGATTAACAGAGCAGCGCATTAAAGAAAAAGTTGCAATCAGGTTACGTGAAGAGGACTGAATATCCCTGCTGATTGCAAATGACAGCTGATTTTTTCAGTCAGGTCTGCACTTAGAAAATGCACTGTCTCAGAGGGTAGATAAGCTCTCCTTGGAAGTAGGAGGGCCAAACTCAGTGCAAATTTTTTCCCATCCCATACACAAGCAAATCAACACAGTTCAATTGAGAGTTTACAGTGACCCATCACCACAAGATCTACAATGTGATATTGTAAACATTCTTCAAAAATGGATAAGCCCAGGCCTACATATATATCATTAACTCCCTACTAAGTCAAAAAGTGCTCACCAAGTATTACACAGTACCAGAAAACAAAGCACACACCTGCAGGGAGAGAGACATCCCTACACTCATGCTGGCTTTGAAATTAACTATTTCTGATGCTCTACTACTGTAAAAAGAAGGGCTAATAAAGAAATGTAGTGCCTGACATCTGTTTTCTTTGACAAGTCTCAAGTACTCTTGTGCCCTTGATATCCACATTCAGCTGGATATCTATTAACCATCATTCAAATTCCTAATAAACTAACACTGCTCAGTATATTAGAGATTCATAAGTAAGTAAATGAAGATCAGTTTCAAGAACATCACTTCAGGATTCTCTTTCACTGACACTGTTATGGTCCTGGACTTGTGAAAATCCTTGATCATCAGATTCACTTTTCCATTTCATGTACTTTCTGAAAAAAACCCCATTTTTGTTCCCTTTTTCCTCCCTCTTCAACTGTATTGTTTTCACCCCTCTGAGCCCTCTTTTTCTTTGCTCCAGCAATATTCCAACACAAGGAAAGGCCACCTTGATTAGTGAATCCTGTTCGTCTTCCACAAGAGACATTAATGCCGGTAGCGTCTCCAGAAAAGCTATTTAACCACAGACCATAAAATACACCTGTTCCCAACACCCTTTAGTCCTCTACAAACTTAAAAGCCAGAAGTGAACTGCTGAAGCCATAGCTAAAACATCCCAGAGGAAAAAAAGCAGGAGACAATAAAGACAGTCCTTGATGTCTTCAACTCCCTGCTATCACAGAAAACATAATTAGATTCAACTTTCAAATGTTCCTACACAACAGACCACGTCCATGTTACAGGAAACATCCACCACTCTTAGCCATTCTTGTATGAGGAAAATTCCTTCTTGACCTCAAGTCTGGCCATGGCTTGAACACCAAGAGCATGTCCATTGATTTTTAATCAAGAGGTTTTTATATCACTGAGACTTAGGCCAGACTTTGAAGTTTTGCATTTTTTGCTGTTCTCTACTGACACAACTAGCTCCATCAGAGCCTAATTCAAGCCAGGAAAGTTTGCAGAGTTTTTTCCTAATTTCACACCAAGCAAACAGGTTTTAAAGAACTTCCCACAACCCCATTTTAATTTTTAAATTACTTTACACCGAAAAGTAAACATAAGATACTCCAAGCCAGATGGAAAAAGAATTCCACTGATGACTTAACAAAACCACCCTTTAATATCAGTGTCCAGTCAACTGGTACCTCATAAGCTTACCAAGTGATGACATGAAACCCCCCAGCCAATGCTATCTAAAATCAAATACACATAATGCCTTCCACTTACCATGCTAACCATATCAGGGGACATATTATCAGCATTTTAATGGAGGCCACATTATGTCATAAATGACAGGCTGTGCTTTGATGAACATTAAAAAGTACAATTTGGAGAACTGAATTAAAAATACAGTGCACAACTCCATGGAATTGGCCAATTCCTAGACATTGAGCTGGCAAGCTATGTCCAAGGAATTTAATAAACCTTTCATATTCTGTGATGTTTAAACATACACATCTGTGGGGTATTTTTGGTACTGGAAGTCTACTATCTCAAAGTACATTGTTTTCCAATTGCTCATCGCTGTACATCAATATAATGCTCTAAACCATCACTTTTGATGGTTGATGATGATAATGATAATACATTTTAAATTCTTTGACTAAGCTACTTGAGTAATGACAGAAAGATCGGACCTTTCCAAACATGAAAACACAATGAATCAACATGTGTCATCTACAGAAATGGCACAAACATCACTTAATGTGATCACATAAAACACATCCATCATTCATCTGTAAATCCATTTCATCATATCTAATCCAAAACTCTGCAAGTATTAGCAGTCAGCCACAGAAAAAATTGTATTTTAGCAACAACCTATCACATGACAAGAACTAGTAGTTACAGCTTTGTTAGAAATCTTTTGGATCAAAATTAAAACTTATCTTTCAGTTTTTGGAATTCAGAAATTTCTTGATGATTTAACTAACAGGTTGATTTTAACTTGTTGATTTAACTAACAGAATTGAATCTAAAGTAAAGAAAAGAGCATGTAAGTGACTGACTTACCTTATGTTTTTTAATTTATGGTTGATAAATCTATTCTTCCAAGAGCAGCTCCTCCAAAACACACAATTTCAGTTCCAACAACAAAACCAGAAAAGAGACAGCCTTTTCTGACACATTTACAAATATATTAACATGATTTTGACATTGACTTTGTGTTCTGAGCTGAATAACAAAATCTGTATGATGAAAGTTTCATAAACTTCTCAGATTGAAGGAAAGCATCATTCTTTGAACTAGAAATTAAAACTAAGTCACACTTATACTGGATAAATACTTAATATCTTAAGGAAAGAAAGATTATTAACATCATGATATTGCTATTTTAGAAAGACTATTCACAAAATGGTCATTAAAATAACTTTGTTAACAAAAATGACAAGTCCATGCTTCAAAACATTAGAAACGTGTAAAATTTCAGCACTTAATCTATTGTTTATTTAATTTAAAAAAGCTGGTCTTCATCTGAATGCTCTTCTATGGGTTTAAGTTCCCTAAAGGCAACATCACCATTAAAAAAAACAAACGTTCCCTATAATAATCTGAAAAAAAGAAAAGACCCCATGAATACTGTATCTGTCGAACTGCAAGGGAATGTATATGCCTTGGAAACCATTTGAGTGAAAGGATACAAGTTTTGGTATAATGGGATTAATGATTTCAATGCACGGCTTGCATTTATAGCTGTTGCACGAACCATAATAGGCAGAATTTTTCCATTCACAATAGCACCATCAAAGAGTGGACCGAAAAATGGAACCTGAATAAAAAATTAAGAAGTTCAACATAAAGCAAGACAAGATCGTAGCTATAACAATTAGCAATCAACATTAACAATAGAGCACTCAAATATATGTCTTTTTCCCTCCTCATTGCTAGATAATCAAACCAGTTATTGTGTTGCAAGTCAGACCTTTTCTCTTGTGGAAATATACAGCCATATAACTGCTTGATATCCTTGGCAACAGATAACACAGCATTTGAAAAAAATTAAGTAACTATCTGAATGTCTCATCAAAGATCATTTCCAACATTTGCTGTAAAAATCCTAGGAACAGTCATGCATATAATGTTTATGAGGTTGATAGGCTAGATGATAATATTATAAATGGCAAGAAGCAAAAGAAATAATTACTCAAAATCTAAAATATTTTATCATGGCTCCAGTTATTAACATGTCTATAAGGATCAACCCAGGGTGACAGTGGAATACAGTTACTGGTGTGTATGGACCATCACCTTCTATTTTTTTTCCTTCTGTTCTTCTTCCTTTCTATATTATTTGAACTAAAACACTGTAAGCCCTTTACAGAAGAAATCTGTGGTGAAAGTTTTGCCTCTTTGGAGCCTAATTGTAAAACCTTATTTGTGAGATCAATAGAAAATCCCAATATTTAGTATAGCTAGCCCCCAAAAGGTGAACAGAACAGATAGATCTTATGTTTTGGCATTACATATCTCTCTAATCCATCATCATTTTGCAATTAAAACAAAACAAAACAAACACTCAGTATTAAATATCTTAATTTCCTGTACATGTGAATAAAGTTCTGAAGCTGCTGACATAAAGCAGGAGAAAAGCATCAAAGTTTGTGCATCAGCTCAGCAAAGGGAGCAGAGTGTACACTAAATATTCTTCCTGCTAAAAGGAAACAAATGCTGCAAAAGAATTTTAGATCCTTGTGTTATCTTTGCCATTAGTCATTTACTGTAGTTTTGAGAAAATGAAATCTGATGGAAGGCACTTTTTTCACATACAAGGACTTCTTTTTGGACTAACAACAATCCCTGTTTTCAGCATTTTTTGCTTTCCTTCTTAACCCACATGCTCCCAATAATAGAACTATTTGTATTTAAAACAGTAAAAGAAAGAATATACTTATTAGTTAACAAGTAGAAGTAATCCAACAGTAACAAGACTGATTAATATTTCATGCCTATCAATAGAGGAAATCATCATTATGAGGTAATCCTATTTATTAATATGAGTGCTTGTAATAATAATTTTAATAAAGTGTAGAAATTCATGGCAAGTGACATCACACACAGAAGTTAGGTAGTACAAATACCCATGACTACTTTTACTCAGTCAGTTTAGTGTTCACAACCCTAAACCATTGCTTTAAGAACAGGGCCAGCACTGACATTTGAGTAACAGTCATTAGAAAGAACGTGTGTTCTTATGCCTAAGGGCTGAGTGGCCTTGCTTTACTGAATTACACTCCAAATTCTTGTGTGGAGATAAGAAGAAAGTAAAAAAATAGGTTTGAGAGGAGAAAAGGGGAATATGACACGGATGGAAGAAGTCAGAACAGGCCATTATTCAACAACCTCGGTTATGTATCAAGTTTGATACATAACATACAAAAAGTTCAACAAGTTTACTGTAATATTTAAATTACTATGCAGAATATTCTAGTTTTGTTTCCAGATTATGTTGTTAGCAGATATGCTTTACAGCATCAGGCCTTTGCAATTTCAAATTACTTATTTTACTATGCACTGTACTCACTGAGCTCTCCCTTTTCCCTCCAACCACCACTGCAACTGTCCATGCTTAAGACATCACCTTGTTGGATCAATCAAAGTTGATTCTAAACCCAAACCTCAGATTCTAAACAAAACTCAGTTCATGTTAAACACATGAAGGAAACACAAAAGAAAACAAACCCTTACCTCAGGCTTTTTCATGATCTGGATGCTGAACATATGGTTTTTCATGGGATAGATAACTATAAGAACATCACCAAATTCTGTGGGAATTATTCCTCTTCTATAATCTCGAGTATGTTCTGACCAGACAATGTGTACTTCATCATTTCCTAAATGTCTAAGCTGGAAAATCAGGGATAAAATGCCATCAGTTTAACATTCTTAATTAATATTCTATAGCCATACAGCTATATTAAATGTACATATTCAAAAAGACAAATCCACTAAAAAAAGTGAAGAAAAATTAGTAAAATAACCAAATTACACAGCAGTTATTTTACAATTTCAGTGTATTGGTTGACTGGTTTGTGCCATACATTTTTATAAATTGGTGTTAATTTCTATTTACATTAACAGATATATGAATACCTGTTTCCTACTGGAAGCTAAAATTTTGTTGATAATTTCTCAAGAATGCAGAGCGGTTCAACCCGATTTACCAACATGTGTTCGAGGTTGCCATCACTGACTGGGAGAAAATTAGTAAATTCTGTATAAACTTCTACAGTATATGAATGGAGATGTGTTTAAAAGTTACATATCTGAGAAGTCAACCTCATTATTCTAGCCAAATTCCAAACTGCCTTCTACAACCAAAAAGCTTTTAAAGGAGAATAGCTACTGCATTCTCCATAGCTCCCAGAATAACTAAGATAAATGCTCATTTTCCATGAAACCAGGACACCTTTGTAAAAATAACACCCTGCTCCCCTACAAGCTACAAAATGGTTCTTGATCTGGCTCAGAATGGCTGAATGGGTTCCTCAAAATCCATGCTGTGTCATCAGATGTAATCATATAACCAGATTAAGGAATTCCTTGAACACTCTGGAATTATCTGACTGAAGAACCAAAACACTCCTCCTGATAAACATTATCTTCTGATACCAAATGTTCACATGTAGAGAGGATTTACGTATACTGATCAAATACATTCAGATTATTAAATGTGAGACTCTTTCCAGTAAGAGTTATTTCTCAAAATTCAAACTGTAATATCTTTTTTATCTCCTAGTGCATCACCAGTTATTGACAATTGTCTTCACCCTCGTTCTCAGCTTTTTCCACAGCTTTAGGTGGGTGGAACTTGTTAAACAATCACCTTGATGTTATTCAAAGGACTGCACTGTTTAACACATAACATCCAAATACCACTCTGAGCATGTACAAGAAGCTATTCTATATAAAAAAGCAATAATTTGCCATAGCACTTTCAAAACACAATTGCACTTTACATAAAAGCAAAACACATGCACAGTCTTCAGAGAAATTTAATTGCAGTTATTCACTTCTTTATTTTACAAAACCTCCTGGAATGCTACTTTTGTCTTATCTGAAGGCCTATACCAGTTGTCAGTAGCAGACTCAAAAAAAAAAAAGGCAAAAAAAAGGCAAGAAAAAGAGAAGAAAAGATAAAAAGAAGGTGTCTCTTCTCTGTTAACTTCAAATGGCATCAGACTGGAGAACAGGGTTGTATTTCTATTAAAAAAAAAGGATTTTCTTCAGTGTTGGACTGGGCAAAGGACAGGTGGCTTCAATACCCTATCTCTTTGATGCTCAACAAGTAATTTGTTTTGTCTGGACCAGACTGTACATACACCCACTTTAAAATGGCTGTGGTGCCTTTGAAGCCAGATGTTCTTGCCTCTTGGGTAGATGGCTGAATTACTTTGAACAACACTTAATTTGGGGACATTCCTGCACCAACACTTGAACCCAACCCAGCAAAAGAACTCATTATATCAACATTCACTACACTGAGCTTTATTTTACTGGGTTAGAATAAAGCCATACAGCAACATGAATGGCTGAAGGAACAAACAGCAGTTGAAGGACCCCTGGATAGCACTTTATTATGACAAACATCATAGAAGACAATTAATTGCAAAATTGACCCTCTCCTACCTTAGAATCATAGAATCATTTAGGCTGGAAAAGACCTCCAAGATTATCAAGATCATCTGTTAACCTAACACTGTCAAGTCCATCACTAAACCATGTCAATAAGCACCACATCTACACATCTTTTAACTACCTTTAGGGATGACAACTCCACCACTTCCCTGGGTAACCTGTTCCAATGCTTGACAACTCTTTCTGTTAAGAAGTTTTTCCTAATATCCAGCCTAAACTGCCCCTAGTGTAACTTGAGGCCACTTCCTTGTCCTGTCTCTTGTTACTTGGGAGAGCAGACTCCCCTCCACATCCTTTCATGTAGCTGTAGAAAGCAATAAAGTCAGTAAGAGCAGTAAGAGAGTGACAAGAAGCACACTTGGTTGTTTTTGTTTTTTTTTTTTTCCTGGCTATAGCTTGGAGGACTTGATAAGATAAACTCCAAAATACACAACAAAGAACTCTCCAACCCCCCAAATCACCAGGAAAGCAACTACTCCTTCTTACCTTTTAGTTTTGCAGCAAAACATTAATTAAAGAAACCTTGCACTGTGGCACCAGAACAGCCCCATCCATTGATTTTCATCAGGGCAGAGTTCTATCTTCTAAGTTAATACAAGGCTCAGCTTCATTTCAGTCTCTTCTAGCATCACTGTCTAATAAATCATTATCCTTGGCCTCCTCTTCTTTGGTCACAGTTAACCAACTTCTCTCTTCAGGCATGAGATAATTTTTTTAATGGATCACAAACATGATCCAATATGCCAGGTTTTTTGTTTTAAATGCAGCTCGTTTCATTGTACTGGTCTCATAGCCCGAGAAAACAACTTGTTGGCACCTTTTTTTGAAGCATGAGAGGAGTGGAAAGCAGGGTTGTCACATCTTAAACTGGCTATATCACCAGAGAAGTCAGTGAGGAATTGCACCCCCGATTAAAAAAAAAATTCCCATTTTGCTTCCTTAGCAAAGTGACAGTCAAACTAGCTGTTGAAATATGACAATGATAAGGTATCAGGGACTGACAGGCTTGCACTTGGAAGGAAGTGAAAAGCTCAGGGAGAATGAGGCTGCCCAGCCAAAGAGAAAGCATGAGGAAAATCAGTTTGGACATGAAGTGTTGTGGAATGTAAAAAACCCACATGATCCTAGATTGAGGGATGGCCATCTGGAGCACTGACTGAACTCATTGAACCAACTGCAAAAAAGCAGAACTGATACACCATCACTGCACTGCACTATTGATAATTTAGCAAGACCAAACTATTTACTAAAATAATTTTTCCTCCTTTACTTGTCATCTTTGGACTCAGAAACAATAAACTCACAGACTGTTAGAAACAAGAAATGGTGACAGTGTACATGCCAAATAAACAGCTTTAAAATCCAAAACATATAGAGAGTTTAGATACTGCAGCTTCTTGAGGGCATCACTGCCTCTGAATTTCATTTGTCAAAGGTTGCCCCTGTACCTGATACTGACACCTGCAGTTAATCAGACAGGATACGAGTTCTTGCTCTTCTATGAAAGTTACCCAGATGGAGCATCACTACTGATGCATGTTTTCACATTAGACTGAAACAGATTTTGCTGTGATAAAAGTGTACTGTGTGGTTATTTCAGCAGGATTACTGACAAGGGACACATATTTTTGGATGCCAAGTGTACTGAAGCCATCAGCCACCTTTCTTTCCAATTTCAAAGTTTGCTTAATACTCAAATATACGTGTGAGAATACATTCCAGGCTGAAAGCAGAAATTTCTTCAGAGGAAAAGAAAAATGTATCAGATTATTTCAGAGTTCCAAGTCCTGTCAAATGTATTTCACCTCATGATTACTGTCAAGAATGGTCTGGCAATGACCCAGTTTGAGTAAAATGTAGAATGGCATCTCTGTGACATGTAATGGATTAAGAGTCAAAATCAGAGGATGTAAGTAGGTGGATGATGCTATAAAGTATGAATGGTGGTATATAACAAAAGGAGAAGTACTCAGGACCAAAACCTTGTTTCTATTATAGGTGGTCCAATGTCTGACAAAAATAATAGATAAGAAAACAAGGGTTTTTTCAGAAGAAGCTCTGACACTACTAACACAGTGCTCATTATGGCTTCTTTCAGATGTCCTCGCCTTGGTCAGCAAGAAAAGCTCCTGAAAAAGCACAAATGGTGGTAACTTGACTCATCAACAACACTTGATTCACGGAAGAGATCTGATACCTGAAATTGACTTGAAAAGCTTTCCTGGCTCATTTCATCTGCTAGGTTTTGCATAAACCTTTTAGAAAGAAGAATTTTAGATTTCTTCTCAATTTTTCATTTGAGAACCTTGAAATCCAGCAGTGCTAAACAACCAAGATCTCCTGCAAGCACAGCAAACATTTTGAGAATCTATCATTCACTGTAATTATTACACCACAGGAGAACCAGAGACTGACCTCTTTCAACTTTAATCTGGATTCTTTATTTCTTTGTATTGAATTGGTTGCTTCACTGAATTCAGTGCCCTGGACACAAGTAGGAGAAAGATACTGAGCTACAACTACCTCTGCTCATTGAAACCTTAAGGACAGAAAAAACCATGATTTCCCAAGAAAGTGTGGTCCCAGTGTGATCTAACAAAATGGTGCACACAGAATGGACAGCTGTCAAGACTGAATTCTGTTTTAATGGTTATTCAAAACTCACCATCAGTTGTCTTCACACTTATTTCCTGACCTTGTTTTCCTGAATTTACAGGTTCTTATGTGCTTACATCACAGTAAGCCTAACAAAGTACCAGATACATAAGTCACTGCAATAATAGAAATAATAAAAAGTCCTAGAATAATGTTATACTTTAAGCTGGTGATACACTGGAAACACCTGGAATTCTAGTTTACACACTAGTATTCTAACAAATCTAAATGCAGATCACACTGCCCTAGAGAGTTTATTATCTAAGCGTAAGACATGACACAAACATGGAGATGGACAAATGCAAAGCAGCTATTTTACAAATGTAAAAAGGTGTTAAAGATTAGAAAAATGTTGTTTATATCAGTATTCTTCAAGAATGAAAGTATCAAGACCAGAGAAAGGAAGGTTCAAAACAACAGTTTATGATATAGAGAATGAATTTTAACTGTGTGTATGGAAAGGCTTTGTTGGAAGAAACGTTAGGTGGGAAAAAGAAGAGTTGTAAGCACAGAATGAATGTAAGAATCCAGAAAGTGGACCAAATTAAAGATGA